TAGTTGTTAATATTTAAATTTGTTTTAAACAAATTTTAAACTTTTATTTTTAATTTTAGTTTTCATTAGTTGTAAAATTTATAAAAAATTTAAAAAAATTAAAATTATAACCATAATAAATAAAGTCTTAATTGCTCGATAATTTTATTCTTTGTAGTAGCCAAAACCAAACTTTACCCACCCTAGTGCTCAGACCAAAAAGTCAATATTTTTAGTAGGAGAGTGGGTCTCCTCGATTGTCTTTCTTAAATATATACTTAAAGTTTCTTATTATGTTTTAGAAACGCGTCTTTGATTTGGGTATGCAAGAAACTGAAAAAGGAACTCTCTTTTACCATTTGAATTGTATTAAATTATATATTTTAATAAATTATATATTATAAAAAAGATACAAATATTACTTCAAACCCATTTTACATCAAAACTAAGAGATTAAGGGCTTAAAAAGGCTATAATTTAACATGGCACCACCCTGTACTATTCAATTACTTTAGCACATTCTAAGAGATTACTTGACCATTCATGTAAAGCAAATGTAAATCACTTTAACTTTTCTTTGAACCATAGAAATGTTTTAATTTGATTTTATCGAACCATAAAATAAGGGCCGTTACATGTAGGGAGAGCCCCTAATATTAGTAGGTCCAACTCATATTTTAGAGGTCCAACTGTCATTCAATAGTTAGTATTGTGTAGCTCAGTGTAGTTCAGTATAGTTCAGATTATATAACATTTTTTTCAATTTAAAAAGAGAGAATAAAGGTTTTTTGCTTTCGAAATTAATATTAATAGTGTATGTAGAATGACTTATATGTAGGTGTTTACAAAAGGAATATTTTTAGGTATAAAATATTTTTTTAAAAAAATTATAAATAGTATAAATATGATTTGAATAGTGTGAATAGTTGATTGTTCATTATTGTGCCCATGTCTTTTTTTTTTGGGGTTTAGTGGTTAAAATCTCTCCAAGTCAATTTGCACGCGCCTAGAGACTAATCCTTCTTTGGTCCAATCAAAGGCAAATCATCTACTTTGGGACTAGAGAGTTCAATGAAGAATTACCACCCCCTTGGCCTCACCAAAGAATCAAACCTTGATCAATAAGGTGGGGAGTAAATTTCATTACCAACTAATTCACAACTCATTGGATATTATGTTCATATCTTAACACTCCTTAAACTCAAAGTAATTGTAATGAAACCAACGTGAGTTTAGGAAAAAGAGTACCAAAAGCATCCAATAGCGATGCCAATGAATAGTTTCTTGTGTAACATAATGGCAAATAAAGTGACAATCAACATCATTATGTTTCACGTGTTCAAGGAAGATGTCATTATAAGCAATTTACATAACACTATCTATATCAATCTAGAATTGGCTTGATTTCGGTTGTGATTGACCAGTACATGAAAGATTAGTAGTGTATATTATTGAGAATAATATTAATTAAAAATATTAATTAAAATAAATATTAAATATAGAAATGATTTATTTATATATAAATCTTAAATATTTATATTTTTACTTTTAATGATTGAGATTTGTCATATTTTTTAAGTGAAAAAATAATTATATTTAATAAATGTGAATAAATTTCCATTATTAAAAGTGAAGAAATAAATAATTAAGATTTTATACGAGTACGATGTGTAAAATTTATGTGTAAATAAATTCTTATTTTATTAAATATATTTTATATACTTTTAGATAGTAAAATTAAAAACCCTACACCAATTATAATTATATTAAATAAGTGTTTTATAATCTAAATTATATTAAATTATAAAACAACATACTCTAAATACATTAACTTTTTTTTCTTTTGTTATTTAATGTGTTGGAAACTTTTTTCTTTTTTTCTGTTTTTGCATTTTTGTTAAATCCATTTCAATTTTCAACGACATTCCTTCACCTGTGAGCTGTGACCACCGGACCAACTCATTTTCACATGCATTCTTTATTGGTCGGTGGCGTATAAATAACGTGGGCTTCTTTTGACTTGGGCTGGTCGGCAACCCGGCCCGGTCCAGCCCACATATAAGAACAGCAAATTTTGCGGCGGTCGGTCCTGTTTCCCTTCGCTAATGTTCCGCTTCATGGAACTATCAACTAAAGGAAGGGAGTGCTGGCCGGAAATTACAATTATTGATTTTTTTTTGGCTTTAAAGATATATAAAATAATTTAATATTTATTTTTATTAATATTTTATATATTTTAAAATAAAAAATACATACCAATCTCAAGTTTCAAAAATAATTAAAGTCATAATCTTAAATTATCTCATTTAATTTAATTTAATTTAATTTAATTTAAAAAATTATCTTATTAAATATTGATATATTAAAATATCTAATAAATTTTTAAATTTAAATATTAACATTTAATACGATGATATTTTAATTTTTAAATATAAATCGAAACTTTAATTCTTTTAAAATTCAAGATTAATACATATTAATTT